TGTCATGCAACTACAGACATGTTTTTCTTTATTGCCGTCATTCTTATGAGTCAAATATATTAATTAATTTTTTTTAAACGTCTTTTGAGTGATTTTATTTGAGTGGATATTTATTGCAAATGAATCTTACCCGAAAGGTGAAGTAACAATGATTTTTGCATGAGTTTAACGAATTTACGGATCAAAAAGGTAAAGGGCCCACATAATATTTTTACATTGGAAGGTTTAAGGGATAAAGGGTACAATAAATTTTACATAGATATAAATAAGAATATGAAAAGGCGTAGGGAGTAAAAGGACCAAATATATAACATGAAAATGCTTAAGGGGTGAAGAATTCAAATATATTTGTATAAATTATTTCAAGTTCTAACAATTTTCAAACCCTAATAAAAATGCGACATGGAATACTTCTTAAAACAAGGGCTAAGAATGTGAAGAAATTCTACGATGTTTAGCCTACGTAAAGCCTGAAAATTCAACGCCTTAATATTGTCTTTCGTTTAAAATAAAATCGTTTCTTTTTTGCTATGAGTTCGCTCGATTAATTTTTACTGTTCTCTGGTGACGATGACATATCTTCCCAATTGCTGTCCCAGAAAGAGGGGTTTCTTTCCATTCAGCAGGATGTACTAGTGAGTAATGATGTTTGCCAGATTCTTCTTGGTGTTTACATATTACTGTATACAAGTACTCAAACTTTACATTTTAAGAATATTAAGTAGGTTTTTAAAAACTTTTTAAAACTAACGTTGTGTTACGACGGGAGATTGCTGTGCTAGTAGGTGTGCGTTCGCTGTGATTGGCTGAGGGAGATCGGGTGATATATATTCATGCTAGTGTACTTTCTTTGTAGGATAAGGACAAAAACATTGCTGCCTGCATTTGAGTGTGTATTTTTAACGGTCGATTTTTTTACTATTATGTTAGTGCAAGTAAGATGAAGCTATACGTGCAATAAAGCTAGCATACATATGTAATTCTCTGGTAAATTTCCCTTAGGAGAGATAGACAATAATTTGGCGGGAGATGCTTGCAAATAAATGCAGGTGTTGAAGTGTTTTTCCAGAAATTCAAAAACCGTTAGAATATGTTTGCTGTTGTTGCTAAGGTAACCAGAGTGTACTGAATGAAAAATAATAGTATATTGTTTCGCGAGCTTCAAAAAATGATTTTCGATGAGTAAAACACTATACTTTTTCTACGAACTCTATTATGTCATGTAGGTACCTACTAAAATGAAAAAAAAAACAAACGTTAGCAAATGCTTTATTTTGTGTTAGGAATAACAACAAATTAACCAACAATTAAATATTTCAGAAATATTATTATTTAAATATTGATTTATTGTTATATTTGAACAATTGTTCAAAATTATGGGGGTATCACATTCAAGCTTTTTATTTATTGAGGTAGATGCCGACATATTTGTTCTACTGTTAAATGTCATTTCAGATGATGATGCGCCATAATCGGATGAACTAGTAGTTTCCTTATTTTGTACAGATTGTAAAATTTTGGTTTGTATTTGGTTTTTACTGTTCGTGGATTCATCAACATATCCTTCCGCAACACTACTAGATTTCCAACCACCGTGCTTTTTTAACAGAAGCAAGTCACCTCCTGCATTCACTAATAGCGTTGCGGATGTTCTGCGGAAACAGTGCCCAGTGTAATCTTGAGGATTCGGAAGCGTTAAAAACTGAGCAATTTCGTTAGGAAATTTACTGATTTTATTAATTCCAACAACCTATCTGCTACACTTTCCATTCTGATAGTTAATAAAGAATCTTGAATTAATTTGATCCATGTTGGCAGGACGTAGGCTCATATATTTTTTAGAAATATCATAAAAGGGTCCAGAAATATGAAAAGAACGCGGAACTTTTGTTTTTGTATTACGGATTTTAACTAACAGAATACTTCCAGTATCCTTTACATCGCTTATTGTTAAATCTTTTAGTTCGTGGCAACGACAAGCGCCAGATAATCCAAAAACTAATGCTACCTACAAATATTAGTAGTTATGTATTAAGTATTTGTTAAAATAAAAATAATAATTTCGTTACCTTTGTTATTAAATATTTATAGTCAGGTGCATTCTTTAGGAAAGTCTTTATGTCTTCAGGCGAAAAAATTTTGGATTTTTGGCTTTTAAAACCATCTGATTTTCTTTTCAAAAGCGAACGTAACTTTGGATATTTACTAATATCGACATCATTTTTAACAGAGAGTGTAGTTCTTAGCATCGAATAAATGGACCATAACGTCGACGGTTTAAAATTTGAACATATTTAATAATAATAATAATAATAATAAATTTTATTGACCTCATATTAACCATTTACAAACAACTTTACAAAGTAAATAAAACATACAAACGGTCAAAAGGACTTATGATCAGTTAAAAACTGTTCTTCCTCAAAAGCCTACATGAAAGTAAAAAAAAAAAATATTAAAATACGTATAACTATAAAACACGGATGAACAACAAAAAATATATATATGTATATACAAACACAACAAAACACTTTTTTGACAGGATTTTTTTAACATATTTTTCAACATTTTTTTGCATTGTATACATTTTTTTTAACATTTTTTTAACAGTTTTTTGTATCACGTTTTCTTAATAATGGTTTACAATTTTTTACATTTATGGGTTTAATTTAACAGTTGGAAGGATTTGAAAAAATAACGCGCTGTTCTTCAAATAATAACTTAGTTATATGCTTTTTATAACGTGGCAAGGACATTTTTTTAAATTCATTTGGAATTTCATTATAATGTTTTGCAATCTGATAAGAGAAAGAATTTTGAAATTGAAATGTTTTATGTTTAGGGATATCTATGAGTTCCTTTCTACGTATATTCATACAAGTGTTGTGAATGTCGGACCTAAATCTAATTTTGTCAAAGAGGTATGTCGGAGAATGTGTAGATAATATTTTATGAAAAAAACACAAAGCATGCGCTTTTCTACGATTTTCCATGTTTAGCCATTTAGCTAATTTTAAGGTGTGGGAAATTCTATCAAATTTACGGATGCCGTAAGTTAGCCTTAAACATGAGTTCTGCAATTTTTGGAGCCTCCTTCTTTGTACACAGTCAAGGCAGGGGCCGTAAACATAATCGCAGTAGTTTGCAAGTGATAATACCATAGAGTCACAGAGTTCCTTTTTTTAAGTTTGAATTTAAGACTTGTCTATTGGTATAAAGGAGTTTTAGCTTACCATATGATTTTTGCAGAATATGAGAAACGTGACGATCAAATTTAAGTTTATTATCAAATACTACACCTAAATTTTTAGCAAAGTCAGATACTGGCAATAAGTTGTTTTTAATTTTGATATTACAAACATGGTTACTCTTAGGTCCGAATGTTAGAACAGTTGATTTAGACGTGTTAATTACAAGGTCGTGACAAGATGAGAACTCTACTAATGCATTGACATCATCATTAATAATTTTTTCTGAGGCTGCAATTTCAGACGGGTCAAAGAAGTAGTATAGTTGAGTATCATCAGCATACATATGGATGCTGCATCTACTTATAGCTGATACCAAATTATTAGTATAAATGGTGTAAAGTAAAGGGCCTAAAATAGATCCTTTTGCCACTCCACGCATTACGGGGCCAGCATTTGATTTGCTTCCATTAAATACTACTCTTTGACATCTTCCTGTTAAATAATTTCTAAAAAAATGTATAGTTCGTTTCTCAAATCCTATGAAATTTAAAATTGTTAATAATAAGTCATGATTGATCATGTCGAATGCCTTGCTGTAATCTAATAAAACTAATACTCCAATTTTACCTTTATCTCGTTGTTTTAAGATATCATCTGTGATATTAGATAAGGCTGTACCGCAACTATATCCTGGTCTGAATCCTGATTGTGTGTGTGGAAGTATATCATATTTGTTTAAATGATCACGTGTTTGTTGCTCGACAACTCTTTCTAAAACTTTGGAAATGGTTGGTAAAATGGTAATAGGACGTAAATCAGATACACTTTCTAAGGGTTTCGTTTTTGGGATTGGCAGTACTAACCCTTCCTTCCATGATTCTGGAAAAACTGAGTTTATTAAACAGTGGTTAATTATATGTGTTATGTATGGAATTAGAAAGGGACACATTAATTGTAAGGTTTTTATATTAATTCCATCTGAACCACATGCTTGTGTTTTTATATTTAAAATAATTTTTGAAATCTGAAATTCATTTACTTCATGGAATAAAAAATGCATAATGCCATTTTGCACGTTATTATTACTATAAAACTGAGCTAGTTGTTGATTTCTCCAAAGTATGCTAGTAGTACAGTTTCCGAAAATGATTTCACTTTATTTTTTTCTCTCCAGTCCAAAAATTTGATATAAATTTCTTCATATCTCTTTTTTGATTTGGCCGGTAATAAATCTGAAGAGGTTTCTTCAGCTTTAAAAATTATTTCTGGGGGAGTACAATCGCTTTCTGACTCAGACATCATGAAAATGTGTTAAATTTAGGACGAACTGAAACTGACAGTTCTCAAAAGTGATAAAACTTCAAATAAACAAATGAAAACCAGGAAACTAGATGTAGATTGGTTTAATTTGCACTATTTTTATACATTTTTATTTTATCTTTAATTCATTAAAGTTTAGGTAAAAACGCATATAGAATTTAATGATCATCTTTTTATTTCATTATTAATAATTATAAGCTGCCAAAAATATTATACGAGGCGACTGATATATGAAAATATGTAACAACTTACTTTCGTCACTAGAGACGAAAGTAAACGTTATGGGATTTTTTCTCACTAGTGACGGAAATCAAGTTTTCGCTGAAAATATCCTGTGGCGAAAGATGTCTTTTTGTAAGAGTTCGTAGAAAAAATATATTATTGTCCTTATGTTAATTATGTCTTATTTATACGGGGTGATTTATGTATATTATAAAAAAAATTTATACGAGGTGATTTATATGGATTATAAGTATCTGTACAACTTACCTTTGTATTTCCTCTCCCGTGACCCTTTCGTGCTTGGGCGAACAAACGTTATACGAAGTATCGTTAATAAGTAACTTAAAATCATCGTCTAATAATGTTTCTATCGTATTGGAAGACGCTATCCTAGTGCCGTCGCGTGTCTTACAAATCACCCTGTCTATACCTTTGTCTTCTTTCTTTAACATTTCTAAAAAGTCCCCCACCGTGTTCGTTATGGGCTTGAGCGTGAATTTGCATCGCTCCTTCCTACTAGGCAAGGGTACTGTGATCTGCGGAAGGCCCTTGTGGTACTCCACCGTGACATCTGTAACAATAAACAAAACATCAGTGGTATGTTTAAGATCTTAATAATGTGAACTTCGTTTAAAGTAGATAAGTATGTTCTTAGAGAAGTAACTTTATGTAGGTATATCATTTATACTTTTTATCGAATTTATATAAGGTAACATTGGGAAACGAACATACGTTAATCGTTATTCCAAATAATGAGCCTTTGGCCGTTTCTAACGAAGACACAGAGATTTTTATAAATGTTTATAATCTCTTTAATCAATCTTTATAGTAAGTGTCAAATATGGAACTGAATACTTATGCACAAGTTGATGAAACAGAAATAGGAATATCTAGCTTTTTCATCTATTTAATAATGAATTTCTGTTATTTTAAACCTATTTAGCGTCATTTCGTAAAAATTAGACCAGAATAGCAATATTAAATTTTTAAAAATAACAATGGAGACTATATTATACATCATTGGTCTAAAAAAAAGTAATTACATCTATAGTCCAACAAAACTCGAATTTACTTACAACACGCCACCTAAAACCACCAAAAACCTTTTCCAACAACGTCTGAATTCCGAGTAATTGAATTAATTGGAACACAGTCATTATTTATCAAATTATTCACGATTACTTCTGTTTCGCTGTTCTACAAATGTCGCCAAATTAAAATGGCGCATCTAAAGTTCGCTTATTCCGAAAAGTATAATTCATCGGCTATTGTGTCGTAACGAACTCCAAGAGATATTTTATTTAGAAGATCATCCTTTCCATCTTCCCTTTATCATATTGTGCACAGTCGGGTGCCCTCGTAGTCTTTGGTAAATTATCTAATCTCGAGCTCGGAAGGGTTAAATAGAGAGTAGATTAAAAGCGGTTTATAAGATTTTGATATCGTATTGTTTAAAGAAAAATGGTATAGTTCTGGATTAATTACTGTCTTTGATTGTATTGTGATAGTAGCGGTCCAAAACTTATAAAGTAATTAATAATAACTCACTCTAATTTATTTTCTTTGTTATGACCAGTAATATATTATTTTAGATACTCATTTCGCTATCTTATTTGATTTAATTTTACTTTGGCAACAGCGATAGAGGCAGACAGATAGCCAGCTTCAAGTTTATTTATGACAAAGTCAAAACAAAGCTTTTTAATGTAAATTTTACGCCACATGATTATTGTACAGTTGGCGTTATCCCAAGTTGGCTTGCCTCCCGATGATATCATGCTAGTTAGGTTAGGTTAGGTTTTTGTTATGTTTAGTCAAAGAGGTTAGAAAGGGTAGAGGTAACATAGGAAGCATTTGTCACTGCGCGAATTTTGCCAAAACCGAAAAACTGGGTGGAAGGAGTAGGGAGATGTTCTGGGCCGGACTTAAATATTTGTATTGTAGTACCTAATTTTGGTAGGTAACTAAAAGATGAAAAATTATAACACGTTTTTTTTGACTTTATTTGTCAGCACGATTCATTTATGATGAGGGCAATAACACTTTATCAATATATAACTAGCTAAGGGACGATTCCACCGTTGTGTCAAACGAAGTTTAAATTACTAAGTGAAAATTAAAATGACATTGTTAATGTAAAAATGTCATTTTAAACTCCATTTAGTAATTTAAACTTTATTTTTGTTAATATAAAAATGTAATTTTAATCTTCGTTTAGTATTTTAAACTTCGTTTAACAAAACCGTGAAATTGACCCTAAGTAGAAGTTTATAAAATTATTGTAACAAAATACTTGTTGAGACAAAAAGTTATCGAAACAGCCAAAGTACTTTTTGCCGAATACACACAAGATTTTTTCTACGATCACACCAAAATAAAATAAATAATTAAATTTTATTAGAAATGGGTTACCTTTTCGTTCGTTATATTTTAAGTTTATTTAACATAAGCCTATTCTTCGAAGAAAAAAAAATGTTTTGGTACTTATATACCGGTAATTATTTATGATTTAATTATTTACGGAAAATACCGTTCAATGATTTAAAATATTAGGAAGTCAATTAATAGCTATTTATGTAACCAGTTACGAAATGCCTTATTTTGTGTAACGAGTAAATATTTGCGGGACGAGCGGAGCGAGGTCCTGCAAAATGAACGAGTTACACAAAACGGCATTTGATAACGTGCTTACATACAAGATTTTTTCTAATTTTGTCTTGATTATTTATAAAATTGTGTTGAAAAATAATTCACCAGCATTCTTTTGTAGGTACTTCCAATCAAATATTTCAGAAAATTGTTGTATTTGATTGCCCTACGACGTTTTTTTTTTTTTTCAATAATAATAAAAATAAGGAACATGTGCAGTGTTGTCGATCTGATTTTTGATATTACCCGCGAGAAATTTGAAAAAAAAAACATTTTTACCCATTATCCTTAAAGGAGTACGTCAAAATTTTACCCCCAACATTTCTGGGCAGTTTTCAATAACGGTGTTCGGCCTTTTTTTCGATATTTGGTTTTTTCGATTTTTGGTTTTTTTGATTTTTCGATTTTTTATTTTTCGATTTTTCGATTACTCTATTTCTCGATTTTTCGACTTAAAAACCAAAAAAGAGGCAGTTTTATTTATTTTCATTTCGTAACTGGTGACATAATCAACTTTTCAGTTGCATAATGTTCTACTTTATAAAATATATTACTTTATATATCAAAATTAGAGAAAATAAAATGTAATTAAATGGATAGATCCCATATTATTATAGAGCAGTGTTTCTCAAACTTTTTTGGGGACGGAACCTTTTTGAAAAGCGCAATATTTGACGGGGCCCTCAACAAATTAAACACATAATTTAAAAAATATTTTTCAAATTTTTTTCTTCAATTTGACTCATTTTGACTTTCAAGGTAAACGTGATAAAAAATCGGCTTCATATTATGCTCCGATTTTACATATTATTCAATTTTATAATTGTAATTTGACAATATTACTGCCCATCTACGTAGTCTGTTGGCTGAAAATTGGGGTATACCTTTAGCTGGGTTAAAAATAGTTACCAGAGGTAAGTAATCTGTAACTAGGATGAATAAATGTCTATATGAATATTCATTAAATTTATTTAAGCCAAAAATTATTGGAAGGCCTTCTCTTTCAATTTGGGAATATTTTTGTTCTGACTTTGATGAGGTACGCGATGCAGAAGCTATAGATTTCTCAATATTTTTTTAAAAAACATGACATATGGCCCTTATTCCCACATTTGATGCATCTACGATTAATTTAATCGGCAACTCAGGCTGAAAATGCATAAGAACATAATTTGTTGTTAATTTATTTTTGATTAATTCCAAAGATTCCTTGCAAGAATTATCCCAAATCCATTTCACCCATAAAAATAAAATAAAAGTCCTAAAGCAAAATCATATCCTCCTTCCTCTTAGTGACTTAAAAAAATTACTTCTCAAAAAAAAAGGTCCTCAAGCCAGGTCCCTCCATTTTGGACTCCACGGAGCACACTTTAAGTAACCCTGTTATAAAGAAATACTAAATAAATAGTTTTGAAAAAAACTATTGAAACCAGTTGTGAAGTTTGAAACGAATAAATTGGCAATGAAATTGATATTTTTGTATTTGATTGTATGTTTCTCTTTCCACTTCCTAAAAACAGATTCACCATGAAACAAGAAATAGTAAACAGTTTATAAAAATAACCTTTATTTGCTACTTATAACATGTACCAATGACCAAGTCCGATTCTGTGTATTTTCAAATCAACAAATATGGACGTCGACAGAATCTTTAAAAATTAAATATCTCACCGAAATAAATGTAAGTTTCTTTTATCTCCGTCACATTTCGCACTTTTATTATAAACAAAGCTTTCTACAACACATCTTGGCATTTTAAACGTTAATTTCCAAAATTTAAGTCACTAAAATACCAAATTAATTCTCGTTGACACATTAAATTTGGATGGACAACGCTCTGACATGTGATGTTCTCAACTGTGATTGGTAGGTGTGAATAATTTCGAAATGGGATTATGCGCAGTGTCTTATGTTCCATCTAAGGTTTGTATAATCTAAGTGTTTAGTATAGAGAATGTTAGTCAAATACATGTACCTACATATTGAAAGTGTTAAGAGTGTATGATGTCAAAAAACGAATGGTACTAAAAATGGCTTGTAGAATGGCTTTCTTTGAAACCGAATTGATCAAAAGGAATTAAGTTTTTCCACTCTCAAGGAGTAATTTTTCATATCGTTTCGATATTACAGGCAGTAAAGAAATTGATCTGTATAATAAAACTTCATTAGGCGGTTAATGTTAAGTTGGATATCAAGTATTTGGTACTTGATATGGCAAAAGAGCTTGCACGGGTTGGTACTTTCTACAATGTTTATTATAAGCCTACAAGCGCTTACACATTGATAAAAAAAATGCAGAATCCTTCTGTTTATCCCTTCTCACTGTAATAATTAGCATTATTATTATTATTTGAAAAAAATCTAAAGAATTTACCAAAAATTCTAAATAAGTATTTAATGTTTAAATTAAATAATTAAAAAAACACGTATGAAAATGAAACAAACCTTCAGGTTATTAATCTACATTGAACGTGACATTTTTAAATACAACCAACCATCACGTAAATTTTGGTTTATATAGAGAGGAGACAAAAGAAAGGATCGCTTGGGGTAAACTCTCAGTCGAGTTCGGACTAAGGTAAAGTTTTGTGTACGATGTGAATTATGGGTAAATATTTTAACTTAATTTTAAAGTGTTTTGTTTAATAATAATTTTAATTTAATTTTACATTTTCGTCCCGAATTATATTTATCTTATGCATGTCTTTATATTACTATGTAGTTATAGTGCTTTATTCCCTAAATGGAATTTTATTCATTTTTTTTCTTAAGACTATTTGTCAAATTTTATATTTATTGTTAATATACATTTGTTAATGTTTTAATACTTATTATTAATCTCTCCTCCCTTTCCAAACCAGCAAAAATACTCCGAGCATTTGAGAAGCCTCGGCGTTTCTATTCCCTTAGGACTAAAAGGGT